GCACTTTAACTAGAAGATTCTTAAATGGGTAATCAATATAATTAACATCAATAAAATCAGGGAAAGAGGGCGGTGCCTGTGGCTCAAATGAGTAGGGCACTGGCCCCATATGCCAGAGGTGGCGGGTTCAAACCCAGCCCCGGCCAAAAACTGCCAAAAAAAAAAAAAAAATCAGGGAAAGATTATCTAGCAAGTAGGAGGAGGCAAGATTCCAAGGAGAGGGATCAGGTGGTGCCCATAGCTCAGTGGGCAGGGTGCCACCCACATGCACTGAGGTTGGTGGGTTCAAACCTAGCCTGGGCCAGCTAAAACAACAATGACAACTGCAACAACAACAACAAAATAGTCTGGTGTTGTGGCGGGTGTCTGGTGATAAAATGCCCCCCAAACACAAAACAGGAATATATTCCTGTGAAATAGTTTCCATAGGCAGCACCTGTAGCTCAGTGGGTAAGGCACCGATCATATACACTCAGGCTGGTGGGTTCAAACCCAGCTGGAGCCTGCTAAACATCAATGACAACTGCAACAAAAATAGCCGGGCGTTGTGGCAGGCGCCTGTAGTCCTAGGTATTTGGGAGGCTGAGGCAAGAGAAGCACTTAAGCCCAAGAGTTTGAGTTTGCTGTGAGTTGTGATGCTAATACACTGTACCCAGGGTGACAGTTTAAAACTCTGTCTCCAAATCAATCAATCAATCAATCAGAAAGAGGGATCAGTTTGCAGCTGTTAAAGTAATCTAGCTGAAAATGACCTGGGCCCAGAGTCTCAAGCCAAGTGATTAAAAATCAAAATGGAAACCAGCAGACTGGAAGGTGTAGAAACAGTAGGACCTGGGACTATGTGTGGTGAGAGAAAGGGAGAATCAGGGTGATTTCTGGATCTGTGTTGAGGGCATTACAGAAAATGCCAGAGCCATAATCGCTGCTTAAATGTGTTGGGTTTGAGCTGAGAAGAGGGATCCAGAAGTGTGCTGTAGGTATTTGGAACTGGAGTTCCAAAAAAGAGTTTATAGTCAGGAATTGAGGGCAGCTATAGTCCCAACACTCTGGGAGGCCAAGGTGAGAGGATCCCTTGAACTCAGGAGTTTGAGACTAGCCTGAGCAAGAGTGAGACCCTATCTCTCCTAAAAATAGAAAACTAGCTGGGCATTGTGGCAGGCACCTGTAGTCTCAGCTGCTGGGAGGTCAGGACAAGAGGATCTTTTGAGCCCAGGAGTTTGAGGTTGCTTTGAACTGTGTTGCTACAGCACTCTATCCAGGGTGACACCGTGAGACTCTGTCTGAAAAAAAAATAACCTGGAGTCACTGGTATCAAACAGTTTAAAACTGGGCGGTGCCTGTGGCTCAAGGAGTAGGGCGCTGACCCCATATACCAGAGGTGGTGGGTTCAAACCCAGCCCTGGCTGGACAAAAACCAACCAACCAAACAAACAAAAAAACAGTTTAAAACTGTGGAAACAAGTATAATAATAGAAATTCAAGAAAAGTGTTATGGATGAAGCATGAACATTTGGAGGGTGGTCAGAGAGAAGAGCTGGTGAAGACTTAGAGGAATGGTCTGAAAAGAGTCCCCTGACTTTGTCTCAGAGTCACTGTTGCCGATGGGGTTTCAGTGTTGTGTTACCAGTAAGATCTGGGTTGCAGAAAACTTTTTTTTTTTAGTGACAGAGTCTCATTTGTTGCCCTCGGTAGAGTGCTGTGGCGTCACAGCTCACAGCAACTCCAGCTCTTGGGCTTAGGGGATTTTCTTGCCTCAGCTTCCCGAGTAGCTAGAACTATAGGCACCCGCCACAACGCCTGGCTATTTTTTGTTGCAGTTTGGCCAGGGCTGGGTTCAAACCCGCCACCCTCATTAGGTATATGGGGCCGGCGCCCTACCTGCTAAGCCACAAGTGCTGCCCCCCACCCCTTTTTTGAGACAGAGTCTTAAGCTGTCACCCTGGGTAGCGTGCCATGGTGTCATCATAGCTCACATGTGAGCTCAAGCAGTTTACTCACCTTGAGCTCCAGGGTGCTGAGATTATAGGCCTGAGTTACTGCGCCCAACTGAAAAATTCTGTATTGTATTTATGTATTGAATTATAGATTTATATATTTTACTAAAATTATGAATATTTAAAAGATACATATAAACTTAAAGGATTAGATAACCAACTCTTGTGTATTATGCAGTTTTAAAACTTTTAAAAAATTCTATACCCATAGGAAGTTATGAAAATAGTAGAGAGGTCTACTTATGTAACCTTTATTTAGGAACCTTCAACTTCCTACAATAAATATCCATTTTAACAAATGTCCTGGCCCAGTTCAGATGCCCTGGGATGGATTATAGAACCACACAGGGAATATTAATCTGGAGTCTAGGCCAGTCATGGTGGCCCTCACCTGCAGTCCCACCACTTCGGGATGGTGAGGCAGGAGGATTGCTTGATGCCAGAAGTTTGAGACCAGGCTGAGCAACATGGTGAAAAAATATGAGCAGCATCTTTAGAAAAAATAAAAGCTTAGCAGGGCATGGTGGTGCACACCTCTAGTCCCAGATACTCAGGAGGCTGAGGCAGGAGGATCCTTTAAGCCCAGGAGTTTGAGGCTGCAGTGAGCTGTGATCATGCCACTTCACTGCAGCTTGGGTAATAGAGCAGCACCCTATCTCAAAAAACAAAACAAAACAAAAAACTGAAAAACCTGGACCTGTATCTCTACCTGATGCAGGCTTGGAGTTTCATTTGTCATAGGGACCCCTGTGCCCCTCCAGAGGCAGCCGGGTAGATGCAGGCTCCTTCCCGCTCTTCAGGGTACGTGGGTGGACTGTTCTAGCTCCCTTATCTTACATTGAGTATCCCTGTTTAGGATCTTGGCTCAAAACAAGGATTTCACTTACAGCCTTCTCCTGAAATAGGCTCAAAGTTGTGTCTGCCTTGGAGTCAAATGTAGCTTATATCTCTGGCTTTGAGTTTCTTCCTTTCTGGCACCTGAGACTTTCCCTCTCCCTAACCCCCTTTTGAGTTCAGCTGTATATTCTAATTTTTCATATTGATCCAGCATTCTAGGGAGTATGTTTGGGCACTAGCATTCTCGGGAGTGTATTTGGGCACATAAATGTATTAGGCTAGTTTGCCCTCTGCTTGAATCAGAAGTCTAATGATTTTTATTCTTTATTTATTAATTTTATTCTGTTTTGTTCTGCAAAAAGGATTTGAGGTCAGATTATATTCTCTCTTTAAAAATGTTTATGTAATGGGTGTTGGCAGTGCCACCACACAAATCACAAAAAATTATTTTTAAATAGGTAATATATGTGTGTGACCAGAAATTGGAAAAATATTTTTAATTGTTTTTAGTCTTCCAGGGTACAAAGACTTAGGTTACACTGATTGTGTCCGTTAAGTGAAGTCCCTCTTGTAATTGTGTCCTGCCCCCCAAGAGGTGTGACACACACTGTGACCCCCTTCCCTCATTCCCCTACTTCCACCTTGTATTAGATCATCTACTGATTTCATACCAGAATTGAGTACATCCGGGAAAGATTTTTTTAAAAGGTATATGCTTTTCCTTTTTCCTGTTTCTTTCTCTACGCACTCCACTCCAGTTTGTTTTTATAGATACAACCAATTGCTGGTTCTGTACATATCCTTTTAGGGTCAGCTGTACCCGAGTTCATTATTTCCTCTTGAGACAGGGTCTCACTCTGCTGCCTTGGCTAGAGTGCAGTGGCGTGACCATAGCACACTGCAGCCTCAAATGCATGTACTTCTGTATCTGGCCTGGTTTATTTATTAAGAGCAGTTTAAAGTTACATTTATAATTTAAATTTGTGGCCAATATTCATAATTTTTCCATTTGTTTGATAAGTAGCAATTACATTTTCTTCTGTGAGTGCTTTTAGGTCAGAACTTTAATTATATGTTACAAGTATGTCTTTATATGTGGATAAATTACTGTGCTTTAAGTTTGTTCACAAACTCCCCAAAATATGACAGAATGTTAGCTGGATATGGTGGCTCTTGGGAGGCTGCGGCAGGAGGATCACATGAGGTCAGGAGTTTGAGACTAGCCTCTGCAACATAGTGAGACCCTGTCTCTGCAATAACTAAAATAATTAGCTAAATATGGTGACACGTACCTGCCGTCCCAGCTACTCAGGCTGAGGCAGGAGGATCACTTGAGCTCAGGAGTTTGAGGTTGAAGTGAGGTATGATGTCACTGGACTCCAGCTGGTGCTTTAGAATGAGACCCTGTTTCCAAAAAAGTGATAGAATAACAAAATAGTCTAAGCCATTGGTTAGAATATTTCAAGTTATATGGAATACGGTGAAACATTAGCTCTATTTTTTATTATAATTCTTAATTGATAAGTAATCATCCATATTTATGGGGCACAGTGTGACTTTAGTACACATACCATGTAATGAGCAGATCACGGTAGTTAGTTACTAGGGAGTGCCTCCCTCACCCTCACGGCAAGCCGAGCTCAAATCTATTTCCGAGCTCAAATGGTAAGAGATGAGCTACCAAAACTTTTTAGTGTTTGAGGACTTGGAGAGAACAAACTGTGTCTTGATAAAAAGATAAATGTTTGAGTGTTGGAAATATTCAAAATCCTCTTAAAAATATGGAATGCTTCATGAAGGTGCATGTCATCTTTGTGCAGGGGCTGTCCTGATCTTCTCATTCCAATTTTATTATATATGCTGCCAAAGCGAGGACTGGCTCTAAGTTTTTCGGAAGCAGTGGAAATGGTATTTTAAGATACTGGAAATCTTCATGAAACATATTGTGGATAGCCTTAAAAACTGTTCTTCTAACCAGTGCATGCTGTTGTTTACATATGTGCAAATTATTGCCCCTAAAGTTCACAGAGTGTCAAAGACAAAGGCGTGTCCTTTGGGTTCCTTAGCCACACTTTGTACCAGGGGTGGACGACCTGCAGCCTGGTGTGAAGCTCAGTAACATGGAAGCAAGAAATGGAAGCCTGTGACCTGATATGTTTTCTTCCTTAGATCAACCTCTCCACTTCTCCTACACCTGCACAGTTAATAAGCCGTTCCCAAGCTTCCAGTTCTACCAGCGGCAGTATTACCCAGCAGACTATGTTACTAGGGAGTACCTCCCCCACCCTCACAGCAAGCCAAGCTCAAATGTATCTCCGAGCTCAAATGGTAAGAGATGAGCTACCAAAATTTTTTAGTGTTTAAGGACTTGAGAGAACAAACTGTCTTGATTTGATGAAATAAGAGGCATTATTAATATTTAAGAAATGTTTTATTTTGTGTGTATGTGCTTAGCTGTTGTTAAATTTACAAAAATTCTTTTAATAGGGCTTCTTGGTATCAAATAGTAATTTTTAAATGTTGGGAAACTAATAGAGATTCTATTAGTGGATATTGTAATATTAAATTTCATCTGTTTCAAAGTTTTTTTACATTTTAATCTAAAATTGGGATACATTTTATAATTAATGGCATCTTATAATTGGTGCTTACAGTGGTACATAAATTCATTGTTTAATATTTGATAAGTTAGATTGAATGAAGTAGAAGTTAACTGTAAGTTAAAATTTATATCCTAGGTTCTTGTGAAATCTGGATCGGAATCCCTGATAATTTCTCAGATGATTTTTAGCTTTGGTTATTCACATCTCAAGTGCTGTGAGGTTATTTGTATTCTTATGCTCATAATGCTACTTTGCTTACTCTGTACATGTATTTGGGAACCTACTGACTAATTAATTGTTGAGCTTCTTTAAGGAGTGTAGAAATTGGCTGACATTTATTTTATTTGATATCTTCATAGAAAGGTAGACAGACTTTGTCCCTAATGTAGATCTACTTACATTCTTGCTTGTCCAGGGAACTGAAGATACACGTGTGTCTGGATCTCCAGCTCTCTAACATTACCAAGGAAGTTTCTAGTCATATTTATAATGGGAAGTAATGACATGACTCACCTCTTTTTCATAGATTATTAAATAGACATTATCATAGTTCTGGACTTTCTTCTGTTATGTTATATTTAGTAATATGCTTTAAGAATGAGGTTGAACCCTTTAAAATGGTTGCTATTGGCCATTTGGGACATCTAAAACCAGTGTCAGGTGGTCACAGTTCAGTGGAATGGCTTCTCTTCAGGCTCAGTGCTTTCAGGGTGTTTGTGTTGGAAGTCGCCTTTTCATGAAAGTAATGGCAGCTGTCCTCCCATGTTCATGGGGGGAGGGGCTCCAGAACACATGTGCAAGCAAGTCCACCGTGGACACCCAAGTCCAAAGATACTCAGATCTCTTATAAGTTGTTGGTTACACCATCTTACCTGCATAGTATTTGCATGGAATTTATGCATATCCTCAAGTACGCTTTAAATCATCTCTTGTTACTTACAGTGCCTTAGATAATGCAAATGCTGTCTAAGTAGTTGTTATACTGTACTGTTTAGGGAATAATGACCAAAAACGTCTAGACATGTTCAGAACAGACACAGTCATCTATTTTTTCCTTCTATATATTTTTTTCAATTCATATTTGAACTCCCAGAAAGCTGACTATATTTTGTTGTTGAATTTGCTTGTTTAATGAAATAAAGAACAAAAGTTTAAAAGAGTATTTAAATTCTGGATTCTGAGAAGGTTGTGGAAAAAAATTAATAAGGATCACTGAATTGATCATTTTACCATTAAGTTAAATATCAATGAGGAACTGAATACTTGATATAATTTTGAAATAGAGTGTTGACATGTTCTTTGAAACACAATATACTAAGTTGATTTGGATAATCTGAGTGGATTGCATTGCCTTAGAAATTAATGGCATTTGTTTCAATATGGAAAAAGAAATCGAAGGTTATGAGTAAGTCTATTTTTTTTGGATATGAAACTTTTTTGCATGATCTTTTATTGTTGAATTTTGACATGTTTTAGTATAAGGATGAGTATTTCTTTACAAATATTTTTAAAATCAAGAGCAACCCGGGTTTGTCCTGTGGATGCTTTGTAGCTGAGTGAAATAACGCAGAGCATTGTGTGACATGATTATCCTGTGGTCAAGGAGACCGAAAGGCTTTTTGGTGTTTCTTTTTATGTTTTCCACTGAAATTTAATTGTGTCCCAAAATAGTGACTATGCTTTCCATTTTGGGAATCCTACTGCAGTAGGATCCTGTGGAGCCAGGAAAAATTTAAGTATAATAGCTTATTTGGGACACAGTTTGGTCTGAGGATTTTATTTCACCAAATATATTTTCTTTTTTGAGTGCTGATTTATTTTTCTACTCATCAGAACCATAAGCTGTTTCAAAAATGGTTTTGATTTTTTTTTTAGTTCTTTATTATCAGGAATTTCTTCGTGGTGTGAAACCTTTGCTGAAGAGACAGTCCTAAGCTGCGTTGTCTCTGTCCCAGATTTCAGTCTCTCACCTGCTATACATTGTGTGTGGGATGTGTTCTTTTTGTCTTAGGGTATTTTTTTGGTTTTCTGTCTGTACAGCTGATTTTCACACCCGCTACCACTGTGGCCGCTGTACAGTCTGACATTCCTGTTGTCTCGTCGTCATCATCATCTTCCTGTCAGTCCGCAGCTGCGCAGGTGAGCTTGTCTGGTTCATGATGTGGGACTCGACCCGGCTCTGCAGGGCTCAAATAAGCATGGCGCTTGTTTAAGTCACTGACAGTGCCAGTGTTCCTCGTCACGCAATTCAGGTTGAAATTTAATCAAATACAATGAGACCATCAATAAAAAACTTTTGTTCTGTAGAAATTATAATACCATTAAACATAGTATTTAGGCATCTGACATTGGTCAAGGTTAATGAGATCTGCTAATGACATTGTATGCTTAATTTTGTTTTAAGACAGATTCTTTTCTCATGTGAGATATTTTGCATTGATTCCTTTATAAGCAGTTATATAACTTAGTCAAAATGGATCTTAAGCTTGAATATGAATTAAATTGGACAAATTTTAAATTTAAAAAATGGAGTAGGATACTACTTTATTTGGTACTATGGAAAAAAAAATAAAGCTTAACTTTCTCCTAATATTGGTCACAAAATTAAATTTAAGTAGAGCATAAACCTAATTTGGAGTTTGTCAAAATAAGCTGTTCTTCAAAAGACATCATTACAAAAATGAGTAGACCAGCTGCATACTGAGGGAGAATGTTTAAAATATATATGTCTGAGAAAGGACTTGTACCCAGAATATGCAAGTTATGCTTACAACTTAGATCATATGCAGTTGAATTAAAAATGGGCAAATGAATTGAACAGACACATCACAGAATATACTGAAGGCCAATGTGAAAAATGCTCACCAGCATTATTCATTATAAAAATACAAGTCAGAACCAGTATCCTCACTGTACACTCCTCTGAATGGCCAAAATGAGGACAGCTGATAATACGTAGGTTGCTTTGAAAGTTTTGATACTTTGTTACAGTCCATTATTTCATTTTCAAGAAACACAGTTGACAGTGTCCTCATTTATCCATACAGGTTTTAACTTGCTCTTACGGGTGTTGCTGGGAGGCTTCATTTGTTTCTGCACAAATTTCACTTTTCTTGATTTTTGTGTAATGACCCAGGTACCATTTATTGGCGAAAATGTGGAGCAGCCAGACTTGCACACATTTCTGATGAAAGTATACAATGGTACGACTACTTTGGGAAACAGTTTGGCAGTTCTTATAAAGTTAAACACACACTTAACTTGTGACCCAGCAGTTCTTTGTAGGTTTGCTCTGAGATACGAAAACACACATCCTTATGAAGAGATGTAAACTGATGTTTACAGTGGCTCTATTCACAACAGCCCCACATTGGAAACAACCAGATATCCTTCAGCTGCTGAGTGGATAAAGTTTACTACACAGTGGAATACTGCCCCCGTGTAGAACAAACTACTGATGCATCTCAGTTAGCAAAAGCAGCTCCACCTGAGGAGTATGTACTTTGATTCATTTATATGAACTTCTGGAACTACCCATACTGAAAAAAATCTGATGAGTGGTACCTGGGGCAGAAGCAGGGGGGAGGTTGATCGGGAAGGGTGAACTTCTAGTGTGATGGAAATACTCTGTGTCTTGACTGGGACGGTGGCATTTGTATACATGAATGTGAAAACTCATTGAACTGGTTCATTCATTTTATGTAAGTTACACCTCAGTAAATCTGGTAACAATGCATTAGATCGAGTGAATTTTTTTCTTTTTTTTTTAAATTAAATCATCGCTATGTACATTAATAAAGTCATGGGGTACAATGTGCTGGTTTTATATACAATTTGAAATATTTTCATCAAACTGGTTAACATAGCCTTCATGGCATTTTCTTAGTTATTATGTTAAGACATTTATATTCTACATTTAGTAAGTTTCACATGTACCCTTGTAAGATGTACCCTAGGTGTGGTCCCACCAATTACCCTCCTCTTCCCCCCCTTCCCTTCCCCTCCCCTCCCTTTCTCCTTCACCATATTCTTGAGCTATAATTGGGTTTTAGCTTTCATATGAAAGCTATAAATTAGTTTCATAGTAGGGCTGAGTACATTGAATACTTTTTCTTCCATTCTTGAGATATTTTGCTAAGAAGAATATTTTCCAGCTTCATCCATGTAAACATGAAGATCGAGTGAATTTTAAATAAAACAATTGAATATTACATACTTAGCATCAGACTACTATGTATTTTTTCATAGTACGTGTTTTAGACTGCACAGAGCAGAAATTGGCATATCTTAGGGTACATCCTTGGCTTCTTATTTTTAATTTAATAATACCAATCATCTGGTAATTCCTAGTAAGAGAATATTCTAGTAATAGAACCTCTGTGTATATTACTTCATTGAGTAGGAGGTGCATTTTGTACGTGACTATATAAAGACAGTGGCAGTTAAATTGGGGTTCTTCTGCTTTGCTTGTTGACCCTGCACAAATCCCTTAACTTTATTGGACTTTTCTTTCCATATTTACAACATGAGACCTTTGTGTTTGTTAAGGTTAAGGTTTTTTCAGCTCTGAAGTTTTATCCTGTCTTTGTAGTTGGATTTGTTGAAGTGATGATCTTCCTGTTCTCTTTAGTTTTGGTTTTATAAAACCTAATAGAACTTGATCATAACTTTCAGAGTATTTTATTTATTTATTTAATTTTTGGGGCAGAGTCTCACTTTGTCACTGTTGGTAGAGTGCTGTGGTGTCCTAGCTCACAATAACCTCAAATTCTTGGGCTCAAGAGATCCTTTTGCTTCAGTTTTTCATTTTTAGTAGAGACGGGGTTTTCACTCTTGCTCAGGCTGGTCTGGAACTCCTGAGCTCAGGCAGTCCACCTGCCTCAGCCTCCCAGAGTGCTGGGATTACAGGTGTGAGTTACTGCGTCAGACCCAACTTTCAGCACATTTTAAATTTTATTTTTTCATTTGTTGTAAGATTTTAGTTTGCAAGATGCACGCAGTAAAACATGGTAAAATAAATTGAAAGCATGTAAGAAAAAAGTATAAATAAAACTGGGAGAGTGGCCTGTATGTAGGATTGAGATTGCTGCTCCGCTGACGTCCGTGGAGCCCTGTGTGGCTCCCACTCCGTTGTTTATTGTGCAGCATCAGAAAATGTCTCATATCATTCAATTTGTAGGGTAAGTTGTATATTTAGTGTTTACAACATTATAAACGGTAGTTTTTTTGTTTTTTTGCATAGGCAGGGACAGGAGGGTTTAAATTCTGACGTTAGCTACAACCCTTGGCAGCTGATTTTTTGGACAAGGTCATAGTATAGTGTTTGTAAGTATGGACTTTGGAGCCAGACTGGGGTCAAATACTTGCTTAACCACTTTCTCGTACATTCTTAATCTCTCACTTCAGTTTCAACAACATACAATAAAATGAACGTGTATAAATTATACTTCATAGGGCTGTGATAAGGTTTAAATATGTTAATATGTGTAAACAGAACAGCGTCTGATAGTTCGTGCTCTCCAAATATTAGTTGTTGTCCTTGCTAAGCCTCAGTTTCTTCACTGTCAACTGGAAGTAACAGCCCAGAGTTAAAAGGAATAAGTGGGACAGTAATCAGAGTAGTTAATGCAGTGCCTGCCACGTAGGTTTTTATGTCCCCTCGTTACTTTTGTTAGACCTTTCTGAAGATGAGCCATAGAGTTGGTTTTAGCTTTTAGGTAGCTAATAGTAAAGCAAGAAACAGAACCATTATCAGTTAGTTCATTAGGAAAATACAGCTATTTCTAACATTTCCTCAAGAGCTGTGGTCCCCAAATCCTGGGTCATAGACCAGTACCAGTCTGTGGCCTGTTAGAATAGCTCAGCAGCAGGTGGTGAGCAGTGAGTGAAGCGTCCTCTGTGTCACAGCCGCTCCCCATAACTAGCATCACTGCCTGAACCCCACCTCCTGTCAGATCAGTGCTGGCTTAGATTCTCATGGAGACCGACCCCTCCTGGGAACTGCCGTGGGAGGGATGTGGGCCATGCTGCTTATGAGAAGCTGATGCCTGATGATCTGAGCGGGGCTGAGGCAGTGACTCCAGCGCTGGGGAGGACTGCGACCATCTAGCTGCAGAAGACAGGCTCAGGGCTCCCACTGATTCTGCATCATTGTGAGTTGTATAATTATTTTGTTATATATTACAATGTAATAATGGAAATTGCACAGCAAATGTAATGCGTTTGAATCATCCCAACTCCTGCCCCCAGTCTGTGGAAAATCTGTCTTCTGTGAAATGGGTCCCTGGTGCCAAAAGGGCTGGGCGCCTGTGCTCTGGAGTGTGCTTTCTCTTGAGTAGCTATAATGGGCATGGCATCAAAGTAGCTTGTAAGAGTGGACTTTGGGGTCCAGTTTGAGGTGTTCAAGGCCTGTGGCTCTGCGATCTGACTTAATTCAAGGATGGACTTTTGAGGAACTAAAGGAATAGATTGACCTTTAGGAATTTCTCTGTGAATGTTGCTTTTCTTTGCTGTGTTTTTTGAAGTGGCAGTGAATGAAGCTGACAGCGGTGGGTGATGCTAATACTTTGTATACTCTAGTGATAACTTTCCTCAAGGTCAGGACTATTAATTTTGAAAAAAATTCTGGCTGGGCACAGTGGCTCACACCTGTAGTCCTAGCATCCAAGGTGGGTGGATTGCCTGAGCTCAGGAGTTCGAGATCATCCTGAGCAAGAGCAAGATTTTGTCTCTTAAAACTAGCTCGATGTGGTGGTGGGCGCCTGTAATTCCAACTACTTGGGAGGCTGAGGCAGGAAGATCTCTTAAGCCCAAGAGTTTGAGGTTTTTGTGAGCTATGATGCCACGGCACTACCCAGGTGATATAGTGAAATTGTATCTCAAAAAAAAAAAACAAAGAATTTTCTATTTTTGCTCTACTTTGATTTTTAAAACCATGTTTGCACTTTTAAAAAACTTTGTTAGTTATTGGGAAATACCAAATTTGAAATTTTATTTTAATACTCTTTAAGGTATAGAAGTCAATAATTTTTTTTCTTGGTTAGTATTGAACTTCTTTTTTTTATTAAGTCATATATACATAGATCATGAATACATTTATGTGTTTGTGGGATTCAATGTGTTGATTAAGTAAATGAGGTGAAAGCTATATTAATTAGTAGGATGTAAGCACTCCAATTTGCACAAGTATTAAACATTTTTAATAGCGTACTGTAAAAGATAAGTTTGGAATATCTTACCCCATACCGTTTTAAATGCTTCATTCCTTCACCATGCCAAAGCAGAACATTTTCAGAAAGATGTTGTAGGACAAAAAGTATGTTTATGGAATAGTAAGAAATCTTAAGTCAGTCTGGACAATGTTGTTAGAATTAAGGAAAAAGTCTCTTGGCTTTAAAAGCTAGAAATTTACCTGGACTGCCAGTGGTGGGATGTTCAGTCTTCCTCACCACGTGCGCCAAGAGTGGGTGCTGAGGGGACTTCCACAGGGCGTTCGGGCCCAGCTTGTTGACTGATGTGAGGGTGTGTGGCATGGTGGGACTCACTATAAGAAAGGGAGGTGTGAAGTTAGCCAAAATAACTCCCGCAAAATCTAGACTGTTTCAAAAGCCAAAAGTTCTCATAATTCAATCCTAGGAGAGGTTCATATGAAGTGAAAGATGGACATTAGTGTGCCCTTATGATCTTTATCATAAAAAGGACGAGTTTTCTCTCAAAGTGAAGCTCTGTCAAGGAAATCTGAATATGTAATCTTTCCATTAAAGGCCAAATTAACTTTGTAATACACTTTGTCAGTATAGTTTACATATTTGGAACTTAAACCATGTTAAAATTTAAGTCAAGATGACCATACATACAACAGCCATATTCTAAACTTCATATATTCATATGAATAATCATATGCATATTTAACATATGTAAATATATATACATTTCCTTCCCGAATTCCAGAAAATAAAATGAAAATTAGAAAAAGAAGTATATTCTGTAGAAAAGGACGTGCTGTAGGTCTTGGGGTTCATTGTATAAATCCTTTTATTGTGAATATACTTTTCATTTGAAGTAACACTTTTACATCACTCACCTATGGTTATTATTGTTATATGTTCTACTTTATAGATCAGTTGTGGCAAATGTTAAATTTTATATTGCTCTTGCTTCCTGGGAGATTCTAGTGTGCCTCCGTCAGACGTCTGTCAGAGTTTTTGGATAGATATGGACAGATTTTAATGTTGGCCTAGGAAAGCCATAAATATAAGTACCTACCAAAAACCATGTAATGGATCTTCAACAATTAGATATAAGAGAGTGCCTAAGACTTGCAGGGTTTCTGTGTTTGCAGGACTGAACTGCAGGGAGCACAGACATGAACGGGAACGTTAGGGCTGGCAGCTACCAACAGAGTCTGTCAGACACATGTGTGCTCCTGTCTCTAAGCCAGCTAGACACTGACAGTGCCGTAGGCCAGTGTGACCCAGTCTTTATGGGAGTATCGTTGTAGGTGGTCTAGGTCGGAGGGAAAACCTAGACCTATACCATGGCCTTTCCGAATGTTTCTTGGGGGAGGGTGCATGGGATTTTACAGGGCTTGAAGGATGGATTGGGCTTCAGGAGACAGCTTTGGGGTGGCACTGAGGCAAAAGAGGCTCTGAGCTGAGGGCTGCAGTGAGAGAAGCACAAGCTGGGTCAGAGTGAGCTGGATGATGTGGTCAGAGCAAGGGCTGTACTGAGTGAGGGAAGCACAAGCTGGGTCAGATGAGCTGGACGGTGTGGTCAGAGCGAGGGCTGCAGTGAGGGAAGGACAAGCTGGATCAGAGTGAGCTGAACGGTGTGGTCAGAGTGAGAGGGGCAGTGAGGGTAGAACAAGCTGGATCAAAGTGAGCTGGACGGTGTGGTCAGAGTGAGAGGGGCAGTGAGGGAAGCACAAGCTGGATCAGAGTAAGCTGGACGGTGTGGTCAGAGTGAGGGCTACAGTGCAGAGCACTGTGGCAGTCTGAGAAATCTGGATTTTAATTTATTTTCTTTTTGCATTAACCTTTAGTAATATAATGATTATTAGCCCATTTATATTAATGCTGATATGAAGTTTTGGAGAAAAATCAGAAGACCCCCGCTCCATGTGGCTTTACTATTCTAAGTGACTGAAAGAATTTTTTGTGAAAACTTTGGCCCGAAGTAAACATTTGTTTGATATTTGCTGTTGGCTGAAAATGGTACTTGTCATGGGGAGAAATGGAGCTTTGGAGTGAGAGTCATCCTTGTACTGGCAGAGCAGCTGTGACCCTGAGAAGCACTTTGAAAGCAGCAGCTCCCCCTTGACATCGCTACCTGGGGATCCTCACCACCTGGGGATCCTCACCGCCTGGGGGTCCTCACCGCCTGGGGATCCTCACCGGTCCCTCCCAGGCAGGAAGCCTGAGTGCACTGGGGTGCTCTAGAGGGGCCTGAGGGAGGCAGTTTCTGCAGAAACACTTTCTGCCCTTCTATTTCAGATGAAAGTGATTGGGATAGTCTCTGTTCCATCCAGACTGGTGGGGTGTTTAGAGCAGGGGTCCTCAAACTTTTTAAACAGGGGGCCAGTTCACTGTCCCTCAGACTGTTGGAGGGCTGGACTGCAGGCCCCGGGATGAGTCGGCTGCTAAGCAGGACAGGCAGCAGTGGCAAAACACCCTGCAGGCCGGATAAATGTCCTTAGTGGGCCGCAGTTTGAGGATGCCTGGTTTAGAGTAGCCAAGTTCAGAGAGGGGTCATGGCACAGACCCCCTGGTGGCCACAGGTGCTGGTCAGTTTGTAAAACCCAGTTTCTGAGGGGATGAGTGTCCAGTAACAACAAAATTTAACTAAATTAAAACTGGATCTTTTTGAAAATGCTTTTTACACTTGTTGCAGTAGGGTAGGTAATTTGAATTTTATTACAAGAGTAGTATACTGTACAGTCTGTACAGTTAAAGCTGTTAACTTTCAGATACAGGGTGCTGCAGGGTGAGTTTCTCACCGGTCCATCTGCTCTTACATCGTCTTCAGGAAGTCTTCACGACCTTGTCCCTTCCTAACTCCTCTTTTCTTCCTTTCTTTCCCTTACTGTCTTTTTTTAAGACTGCACTTAATACTTAAGATGTGATTGCTTAGACTAATAAATCTCTTTAAGAAGTAATCAGTTGCAAGTGCTTGGAACTTTTTGTGTGAAAAGCAGCATTTAAATGTGTTGTCACTATTGTCAGAATGGTAATGATCACTGTGTCAGTTAAAACCGGCTCCTTCATCCTGTTTTCTGTTGTGTGGTTCTTAGGTTCAGAATTTAACATTGCGCAGCCAGAAGTTGGGTGTGTTACCCAGCTCACAGAATGGTCCACCAAAAAGCGCTAGTCAGACTCAGTCGTTGACAATTTGTCATAACAAAACAACAGTGACCAGTTCTAAAATCAGCCAACGGGATCCTTCTCCAGAAAATAACAAGAAAGGGGAAAGTCCGAGTCTGGAATCTCGAAGCGCAGCTGTCACCCGGACGTCGAGCATTCACCAGTTAATAGCACCAGGTGGGAAGCAGTGTTTGTTAAATAGTTAACATTGTTCATTTTCTTAGAGTAAAACAAAGGATGTCTATTACTCAAACAAGAACACTTTTAAAGCATTTTAAAATGCAAATTTAAGTTAAAATAAGGACCATCTTATACATAGCCTATAAAAAGAGAAAAAAAAATTTTTTTTTTTTTTTTGAGACAGTCTCACTTTGTCATCCTTGGAGTGCTCTGGCATCACAGCTCACAGCAACCTCAAACTCTCGGGCTGAAGCAATTCTCTTGCCTCAGCCTGCCAAGTAGCTGGTAGTACAGGCACCTGCCACAATGCCCAGCTATTTTGTTTAGAGATGAGTTCTCAGTGTGGCTCAGGCTGGTCTGGAACTCATGAGCTCAGGTGTTTCAGCTGTCTTGGTCTCCCCGGAATGCTGGGATTACAGATGTGAGCCACTGTGCCTGGCTGCTTTCCTTTTTAAAGATTTGTTTTATGGTACAAAGTCTTCTTTATTTTACTTAACCCTGTTTTACTTGTCATACTCTGTTAATACTGCCAACATTCTCTATATGACCAAGTGTCAAAATCTTAGCACTGATTCTCCTAGTTAGAGACTTTTTCTCTGAATTTCTGTGATGTCTTATGGGTCCTTTCTTTCTTCTTTCTTTCACAGTTATTTATGAACTTTCTGATCTTAGCTTCTCTACTAAATAGTAAGTTCCTTGAGGGTAGGGTAATAAGGAGCGTTTCTGTGTGTGTCAGGCACTATTTTAGCACTTTAGTTTATTAACTGTCAGTCCTTTTTCACATTCAGCTTTTTATCCTTCCATCTTGGCAGCACTAAGGTGGGAAGTATGTATTTGTTGGATTAATGGTTCATTTTTGTTTATTTCAGTTTTGAAAATAACAGCCTTTCTCATTAGCACTTATTAGACATCACTCTGCTTAGAATTATTAAATCTGAATCTTAGATAAGTAAAGGCTGTGATAAAATGTATGAATCTTCATGATATAGTTACGTATGAGTTCTCGCGTGAACATCTGTATGCCAGGCTCTGCTCTCTGTATGGCTCCAAAGCTGGGTTTTGGTTTGGTACTGTCAAGCTCAAACCAGCCCCTGGTCAATGTTGGCAGGGTCACTATGGAGCAGCAGTGGTCCTCTGCTTGGAATGACTACATAGGGGACAATTTCTAGTAATTCCTATAGTTTAGATGACAGTGAAGGGCAGGTTAATTTCCTTCTAAAGAGAATGTTACTTTCAGAGAAGGCTGGGGAACTCTTTCAGGGATGGCTCAAGCAAGGAGATCTAATTTCGGATTTTCAGTCCGTCTTAACTCCCAATATCTGGTTTCGAGTTGCAACTTACTCTTCCCTCTTTCCTTCATATATGACAATATCCTCATAGTTGGCTTTTCTCTGATGGCCAGTATTTTCTGTAGGTATGGAGGAGACCAGTAAGCCAAAACCACCAAAGACCTCAGGTCAATTTTAATTCCAGTGTCTTACTGAAACTCCAGTTTTCCACACTGTTGTTGACTAGAAACACAACCACACAGAGCAGCGTCCACCACGTGAACTTTTACAGCTGCCAGACTTTCATGTTTGTCAGGCTTTACCTGCAGTTATTCAGAGCAATTCATATTTTCCAGCAAGGCCACAGCTATATTTTTTACCCTTTCAGTTTTTCTGCCTTTATTGGTGGGAAGTTAATATGAAGCTAAGATATTTTAGCTAATTTAGGAAATTCTAAAATTAGTAATTTGTCCTTTTCCTCAATTAGAAAAATGTTTTTTCAGGTCATTTAAAAATTTTTTTTTCTCTTCCCTCACACCCCACATGCTCAGGCTAGAGTGCAATGGCATCATCACAGCTCACTGAAGCTACAAACTTTTGAGCTCAAGTGATCCTCCTCCCTTCGCCTCCCAGGTAGCTGGGTCTACAGGAGTATACTACTGCACTTGGATAATTTTTCTGGGTTTTGTAGCGATGGGGTCTAACTATTGCTCAGGTTGGTCTTGAACTCCTGCTCTCAGGTGACCTTCCTGCCTTGGCCTCCCAGAGTGTGAGAGTTCTAGGGTGAGCCACTGCACCTGGCCCTTTCAGTTCTTTTTAAATGTAAAAAAATCTACTTGTACTGTACTATAGTGTAGTTTAATTACTATAATGGACATGGCTTTTGTTTCCTTACATGTATTTTTAAGCTGCTGATTTTCTTTATCATTTCTCCTTGAAGGTAAAGTTTCCCCTTGATACTTAGTAATTCTGTTTTGAATACATGAACTATAGGCAAACATTAACCACATATCTGGAAGTAATTATGGACTGCATTAGCACTGAAGTTCTTTAAGTGGTTTTTAGAGATTTGGTGAAACTAGTCTCAGTGGAAAAAGTATATACTGTTTCTTGGAGACATTAATCATTAATTTAGTGTGTAGTTAAAGGCCCAGCTTTAATCAGTCTGCTCTGGGTGCCATGATAAAATACCATTGGCTGGGTGGCGTAGAGCACAGCAGTGTGTTCGTCATGATTCCAGAGGTCTGCAGTGCCAGTTCTGGCTCTCTTCCTGCGCAGATGTCTGCCGTGGGCTTCTGTCTGCGTGTGTATGGGTGTGTGGGGCAGAGGGGGAAGCTTTCTACTCCCTTCTTAAAAGGACACAAATCTATCCTGTTAGGGCCCCACCCTGAAGACCTCATTTAACCTTAATTTTTTACTTGGAGGTCCTATGTCCAAATACAGTCAGTCACATTATGGGTTAGGGTTAGTGCTCCAATATATGAATTTTGGGAGGAGGCACAAACAGTTCACAATGGGGCCCTAGATTCAGGGTCATGGGTTCTTTAGACCCAGTACTGACCTGGATAGCTAGATGACTTCAGGTAGGTCACTCAGCTCCTCAGTCCTTTCATCTGTCATGTGTTGGGTTGTATAGTGCTCTGTCTGTCCAGTGTGGTGGTGGTTATAACTATTGATCGAAACACGTTACTATAAATAATAGTTACACATGTGAGATGATGCTGACCATTAATTCTCCAAATATAAAGTCAGTCTGACAGTAACATTTTTTTTTTAATTTTTTTTTTTTTTTTAGTAACATTTTTTAAAGTCCGAGAAACTGGACCCTATAGAGCATACCTATGGTCCCAGCTACTCAGGAGGCCAAATCAAGAGGGTGACTTAAGCCCAGGAGTTCAAAGCATCAGTGAGTTATGACCCTGCCACTGTAATCCAGCCTAGGCAACAGAGTGATACCCCATCCCTAAAAAAAAAAAATAAGGCCAGGTGCAATAGCTCATACTTGTATACTTGCACTTTGGGAGGCTGAAGTGGATGGATTGCTGATCTTAGGAGTTGGAGACCAGCCTGAGCAAGCCTGAGACCTTCTCTGTAAAAGTAGCTGAGTGCTGTTGTGGGCGCCTGTAGTCCCAGCTACTCAGGAGGCTGAGGCAGGACTGTCACTTGAGCCCAAGAGTTTGAGGTTGCTTTGAGCTATGATACCACGGTACTCAATGACTCACACGGCAAGTGACTGAGACCCCCCCATCTCTTAAAAAAAAAAAAAGAATTAAAAGTAAAAACAGAGAAGTTAACCCCCATGATATTCCCTAGTACACTGGGGCTTTTCTTGTACTGAGGGTATTGTTTCAAATATCCTCACAATTTTTCTTTTATTTATGTGTTTGTCAGTTGGATTTACAGACTAATATAAAGTAAGTAAACTCAGTTTGATTTCTGATTCAAGAAATGTTTAATTTAAGTAAAAGGATAGACTATTAAATCTATTCAAATATGGCTCGGTGCCTGTGGCTCAAGTGGCTGAGGTGCCAGCCATGTACACCCAAGGTGGCAGGTTC